TTCTGTCTCTGGTATAAATTAGAACCCGATCCGATATTGGCTTCCCTAGTTTCCAAGAGGGTAAAAAAGAGGGGAGAGTACCCTTAAGAGCTATGTGTCTGATAGAGAAATAATAACAGTGATTAATGGAAGTCTGTCGTCTCCGGAAAAGGTGAACCGGGGCGTTCCCCAAGAAAGCGTCCTCAATCCACTGTTGTTTCTTGTTTTCATTGATGATATTGGAGAATCATTAAACTCATGCACACGGTTGTTTGCTGACGATACAGTCATTCATCATTCTGATAATGATATACATGATTTAACAGCACATTTAAATAGCGATTTGTTAAAAATGTATCAAGGGTCAGTTGAGTGACAATTGCCTCTGAATGTACAGAAATGTGAGTCAACGGCATTTAGCTACAATTTAACACCACCTCCTCTCGTAATAAATAAATTTAGTCTAAATGAGGTTAAATAACGAAAACACCTTGGAATTTTTTTGACCAGTAAATTAGATTGGATAGTACATCAACAATATGCTTTAAATAAATGTGAAAAGTTATTAAATATGATAAAAACATGTAAAAGAATTTTCAGTATATCCACATTAAATCAGTTATATAAATCATTTGTTCTTCCAGTGATCATTTATGGATCGTGTATCTATATCAATCAATCTAATATTTCCGCTTTCGAAAATGTGCAATATTAATATAATGCATCTTTATTAGTAAGCGGTGCATTACGTCTTACGAATCGAATGAAAATAAGAAAACTTCTAGGATGGAGTAGACCTCGAAGTAACATTTAAGCTAACACAACTAAATTATGTCAAATACATAAACTAACGTCTTTTACACAAGAGTTATCGAAGATCTTAGAATTAACACCAAAAGTAAGAGTAACGATAGGAATGAATAGAATTACTAATATCGCGTTCTATCAAATGCGTTGTGACTTTTTGACATTGAGATCTGACTTTTTGAGACGACATATTTTAAAAAAACTCAGGTGATGACCTTTGTGACTGTTTCAAAGTGAAATAGTCGAGCATTTCTTTCTCTCATATCCAATTTACCATGCAGTTAGATTGAGACTTTTCGATAGAATAAAACATCGTGACTAGACTATCGAGATCGATATTGAAACACTACTCCTACGGAAAATCTTCCCTCATCAATTTTATCAAGACCTTCATAAAATAATAATAGATTATATTTGTGAAACAAAACGTTTCGAATGAACAACACTTCCCTTTTACTCCTCAGTTCTCTTCTTCTTACTTATTTGCAACTAAAGTCATTCTCTTACTTTGATAAACATTTTTTCTTTTTATTGTTAATTTTCTTCTAGTTCACTGTTTACTTATTGTTTCTACTTCTATTTTCTCAACGATTAAGTCAAGTCAGACTAGACTCAAAGCAAAATTTCAGGTAGTATATTTTTAGTGATTAGAATTGCACCTCTGCTAAAGACACGAACAAATTCTCCATCATAAACCGTAACCATAGGTACCAAAAGATTAGCTATGGACTATGGTGACAGCTAGTCTGTTTCCCAGAGCGACGTCTGTAATTCTGTTCCTCCTAGCAGCCCTGTTTGCCCGCGCGTGTGGTAACAGTTATTTCTGCTTCATCATTGTTACACTATTGCTTTATGGAAACTCAAGATTGTCCCAGCTAAACTGCATTCGTATCTAGATTTCAGGTAACCAATCATTTATAGCTGTAGTCGTAGCCGTAATTTACCGACAACGTTGTACTGTGCCATTGCCGTTCTGTTGACGTCAGAGTTACGTCAATAATATAACATGTAACTAAAAAAAAGGAGATAAAACGTAATGAATATTGATTACTTTGATCGTATAAAAAGGTACCTGGCGCTGCTACTAGTAACTGGAAAAACTTTTTCTGAAAGAAAAAGAATGACTCAACTCACCTTGAATAATTTTTAAAATTATGAGGATTCATTTTTTATTACAACAATAGTCTTCAGTTCTCCTTCAATATTTTTAGAGTTATTTTTATATTTATTCTGTTGAACACACAAATGACATGTAAAAATACATGTAAAAAACAACATAATAATGCGAAGTTTCATATGTCTGACCAGAAAATCTCTCTGAATCAGTTAATTATTCTTTTGTCTCTAGTCCACGTTTGAAACACAAGGAAATGCGATTTAAATGATCGGATGAGCTTTCATTCTCTACCCGATGAATCTGAACAAAATTAAAAAATGAGTGATACATTTTGACAGCATTTCTGTTGCTTTTAAGTTCAGCTAGCATACGGTAAAATTTAACCGAATGTTATTGACATCAATTTTTGGTCTTCGGTGAATCGTTTCAAATTAAACAGCAGGGTTTCTAATGAGAATTTTGAGCAGCGCGTATATAAGCGTGGTAATTCGTAGTTTTTATCGTTCTGTCTTTTCCTATTGGTTGATACAAAGCGTATTTTCAATTTAGTACCGTACGCTTTGGAACAAAGGCATACGCGTGATGTTAGAAACATTTTAAACAGTGTGATTGTTTTTCGCCTTTTTCCGTATACTATATAAAACTAACAAATGAAACAAGATTTTTAGGCTATTACAGAATGAACAGCACTTTTTTTCAAAATTTCTGTGGCAGAAATAAAAGTTACAAGACTTCAGACACAGATCAACTGTTCCTAGATTATAACACTGCACGGATATCCTGATTATCATGAACTATCTAACCAGACTTTCCAGGAATCGAAAGAACGCCTTTGAGCCCCTTCAAGTGTTCAGTGATAAGGTTCGTAGAACGGATAAGCTCGGAGGTTTTTCATCTCTCGTTCCTTCGGTACGTCGCATTTCCGTTACAAACTATAAAGACGTGACAACACGACTCTGTACCACTTCATATTACAAAGTTATAAGTATTTTCTCACAGGTCCTAAAAAGGCATCAATGAATGTAACACGCATTTTCTGAGCATCAATTTATGTGTCATTACTACTTACTATTGTCGCTACTTCTTCTAAACAATCCAATGTACGGTAATAAAGTTTTTTTGCAAAAACTACTAAACTTTCTCGCAACTTTTACTCATGTCAATTATTAGAATTCATTCCAGTTGTCCAAATATAGCTTTTTCGAATTATTAGCTTGAGATGTCTATCCAACATTAAGGAGGCGTAAATTCAAAACTCGATACTGGTAAATTTCAGATAAAATCATTATAATTTTAAGTAGAGTAGGAGTGAGAACTGTTTCAAACTTTTTAATACTTTACATCAGAAGTCACCCATCTTTCAATTGTCGACAGTTCGAAAATATTTGAAAAACTTTTTGAATCCTACAACAACTGAACAGTATATATGGCTATTGTCTGATCTAATTTAATATCATTATTCAATGTTTTCATGTTACGAACTAGTTTAAGAATCGATCAGTCATTTTCTAATATTAGAAGAAATGTGTAAAGTCGAATAACCTGACCATTACATTGACTTGTTGACACGCTTTAATATAATGAGGTAGTTATCGAGAGAAAATAAATATTATTAGTAAGAAAAACACTGCAGCATGTACTGAAACAGCATTCTTTTATTAACGGAGGATGAGATCCGAAGATCACGATACTCGATGTCAATCTGTTGAATATTCTATATACGGAGTGAGGATAATCTTGACTGAACCCCGAGTTATAAAGAACCAGCCTGGGTATTCCATAAAACTCCAATAATAGTGGACGTATAATACCACGAATATTTATAAAAAAATAAAGATAAATAACCTTTGTGTGCATTTTTGTTTTGAGATACTGCACAAATAGCATATTTAACTGAATCTGTCCATGGGAAAAAGGTCCATGCATCTTTTATTCTATTTCAACGTAAAACAAGAGCAAAACTCTATGATAAGTCGACACAGCTTTTTGTATTGTGTTAAAAAAAACAGAAGAAATAATCTGCAGGTATCTATTGTATATTATATTACAAGCATAACTAAAGGTTAGACAAATTTTAAACTGACATGGTATAAGTTAAAATCGAGATACAAGTATATATATTTCATTTTAAGTACGTCGTTGGGCGCATCTTAAATTTGAAGTATCCATCGGTTCATTGATTCTTTTCGAAATATTACCGCTCGAGTATTTTCGCGATATCACTAATATTCTGTTTGTAGAAAAATCCAAAGAGTATAGAATATAAAACACTTTTTGTTGTTTTATGGCAGAAGCATTATTTCGTAGTGATTGTAGTTACAGATTAACATGATAGAAAAAGTATAGTTCGGGTATTGTCTTGATTTCAATAAATTTTTTGTGTTAATACTACTTCTTCCGGGATTGGCAAAATGATCATACTTCAGTTATTGAAAAATAGTGTTGCTGCGATAGAACAGCAAAAAATGTTTTGTATATTATACTTTTTGAGTTTTTAACGAAAAGAATAATAGTTTTTGAAATTTTAGGTATAATTGAAACTTAAGATACATGATTAAACGTCAACTAAGAATTTCAAAATTCTTCTCATTTTTTTCTGATTTTCGAATAAGTCGGGAGTCGTTTAACTTTAGATAAAAAATACTCAATCAATTCATTGTTTGCTCAGTATTTATTAGTTATTTATAGAGACGAAGGCGTCTAGTTAACCCTTATGCCCGACAGCTGATCTTGTAAAACGAACTTGAAACTGTCATAACTCTGTTTACACTTGAAGAACAAAAATTTTCTTATTAGCAACGGCTAGCTTATGATGTCAGTTTACTTTACAAAAAAAAAATTGATTCGACGCATCATCATCTTGTTATAACGATTCTATGATATCCCACTAATGTCCGCGCCTGTGGACATCCGAGAGCAATGTGGGCAACCGGGGTTAATGTGCTATCAATATATATTCGGCTTCATCTGTTTATATCTTTGTTTTGATTTTTTCTTCTAAAAAAAAACAAAAAACCTATTCTGGTCACTAAGCTACGCTAATCTTATTGAATTTTATTTATTACAGATTCATAAGTGAACACAAGATAAACAGATAATGCGTGTTCCATATTATTTGACTTCTGAGAGGACGACAATTTTTTTTCAAAATCTATATGAATATTATGAGAGTGGTGAATATTGTGATTTAACAATAACTGTAGCAAAACAATCATTTCCTTGTCATCGTATTGTATTGGCCAGTTCAAGTCAATATTTTTCAGCATTATTATCTCATTCATTTAAAGAAAATTCTCAAGAAAAAATTGAATTAAAAAATATTGCTAGTGATACATTTCAAATGATATTAAATTTTATTTATAGTGGTACAATAACTTTAGAGGAAAATAATGTTCAACAATTATTAGTAGCTAGTGATATGTTTCATCTTGTCGATCTCATACAATTTTGTTGTCATTTTTTATCAATGTCAATAAATATACAAAATGTTATTGATGTTTGGATATTAGCAGATGAATATAATTTTTCAACATTAAAACAAGAAACAGAGTATTATATGTTAAAACATTTTAATAATGTTATTGGACAAGAAAATTTTCGTACAATACCAAAACATTTATTACAGAATCTTGTTAGTAATGATGATTTAACTGTACAATGTGAAAATGATGTATTAGAAGCAATTTTAAAATGGTGTTTAGCCGGTGATTATGAAAGATTAAACGATTTATATGAATTATTTGATAATGTGAGATTTACTTATTTATCAAATGAATATGTACAAAAAACAATTGAAAGTGTATTAAATTCAATGTCAGAGATAGATAAATTACATTTTATTAAATATATAGTGAGTAGATTATTATATTTAGACAGTACTTTCTATTTCTCGTACTAATATAATAGATTCTTATTTATCTTTTCATATCATAACAACGTTAAGAAAAAACATAAAAGTTCATTTAGAGTAGTTAAAAAGTGCTTTTTTCGTCTTCAACACACTCGATAACCTAGAAGATTTTCTATTTTTGATAAGGGGTACTGGCAAAAGTTTAGGAAAAATTTGGAAACAAAATGGTGAAAAAAAATTTTCAATCGAAAATTAATATTAGTTTCAAAATTTTTGCTACACTTATGGCAGTACCGCTCGTCAAAACTAGACAATCTTCTAGATTATCGAGTGTGTTGAATACGAAAAAGCACTTTTTAACGACTCTAAATAAACTTTATTTTTCTGACAGTGATATGAATTTGGAATGAAATTCAAAAACTAAACGGCAGTTATCATCATCTACGGGAAAAGTCTAGATATATTTCGTTTGTAATGGGGCGATGCACGACTAGTTGTCATCTAGATTACAAAGGGACTTTTAACTAGGTGCGTCTGTATGTGCAACTAGCAATAGTTAAATCGATCGATTATCGCTCGATAAATTGATAGGTGCAACTAGAAGAAATCCAGCAATCGCCCGATTATTAAATTTTCTCTGTCGTTACCCAATAGTGTATAATCGAGTAAAAATCCAGTAATCTAGATGAATTGGGCGATACTAGATTTTTTTTACGCTTGGATTACTTCACATTGATCTTCTATTAAACGCTCGGCCTACTAATGTTGGATAACAAGATCAAACTACTTTACTATCGTTAAGTTTCAAAAGACTTTTTACATTTGAATATTCATTAACAGCTTATTTTAATATCTTTTATTTTCATTTTTTAGAATGATTATGTAAAGTCTTTCCACAATGGATCTTTGTTATTGAACGAATCAACGACATTAGATTTTACTGAAATTAACAATGAAACAGCAAATCAACAAGTCAATGTGTCAACGAAAGATATTTCTATTGATTATGTACATACACAGTTAACATCATTAATTCAAAGGCTAATTGACCATAAAGTAAAAGAACTATTTCCATCTGATTTAAATAATAATTTTATGCTTAATAATACCACACTTCCAAGACGAGGTATTCGACGTTCTTTATTAATGTTTGGTGGCTATGGAACGATTGATTTTCATCCTGACAATAATCCATCTTTGTTTGATATTGGATTCAAAATACGATTAAATAACGAAATGACAACATTAGAATTTGATAGTATTGATTCAATGAAAGATGCAAGAATGCATCATCAAACTGTTGTATTAAATGATTTAGTTTATGTCGTTGGTGGTGAAGATGGTGATTGTATGATATACAATTCGATGGAACATTATAATATAATTGAAAAACGATGGTATCAATCACCATCGATGTTAGAACCAAGATGTAATTTTGGTTTATGTGTCATTTTTAATCGTTTTCTATACGCTATAGGAGGGCAAATTGGTGCTGATATTAATTCTACGATTGAAATTTATGATTCATCTACATCTCAATGGACAAAATCGACATGTTCATTAACATCTGCTCGCTATGCATTTGCATGTACAGAATTGAATGGTTTAATTTATTGTTTTGGAGGATCTGATTTATTTGATATTCCATTAAAAACCACAGAAATAATAAATCCAACGACAAATCGTACACATTTATGTACAGAAATGAATGAAGGACGAGCATATTGTACTTGTTGTGTGTTTAATGAGGAAATTTATGTATTTGGAGGTATCAACGACAATCGAGATGGTTTAAGATCAGTCGAAGTTTATAAACATTGGGAAGATAAATGGTATACTGTTCCGTCAATGTATTATCCACGTGTGAGTCCATGTGTGGCTTGTCTTGGTCAATATTTATTTGTATTTGGTGGACGAACCGGTATATCTTCAAATAGTACAATATTGAAATCTGTTGAATGCTATGATACAGAACGAAAATTATGGACAAGAATTAATGATTTACCCATCAATGTTTTTGGCGCTTCAGCTGCTGTTTGTTAAGTCAAATTTCCACCGCTATCTCAGTCTATTTTTATCATTCCATTATAAATGGTTACATGTTTTTTCGTTAGATAGAGTATATTGAAACTGTAGTAAGAAGAAAAAAAGATATTGTAGTATTAGTAGGAATGAAAAGAGATATTTCTTTATTTGGTAGATTTGCAGAAGAATAGGATTTGTACGTTCAGTAATAATCAATATCAATTGCGTGTAAAAAAAAGCTAATTTGATTTGACCTCGGGATCGAAATCTTTTTCTTTTCAATATACTTCTTATTTATTTTTGTGGCGTTTTATCTCCTATCATGTTTTTTTTACATTTGACCTTTTATAGTATTTTTTATTTTGTTTTTTTGTAAATAAAATCATATTTATGATATATATATTTCGAATCCTGTAACTTAGATCATGAGATTCTTTGAAACAAACTGCTTTTCATTCGAAGGATAGTCTATTTTTACTATTAGACTGTTTTTATAAATGAGTTTTACGTTTATTGAAAATTTGTGTGTATAAAACTATGCATATAGTGTAGGATTCTAACTGGAGACGGTTTCGGCTAAAATGTGAGCGAACAACGGTATAGTATCGATCAGAGCAGGTACGTGTACTTGTGAGTACTTGATGTTGTGAAAGAAACAACATTCTATTTTGTTGAGCAAAATATACATTCATGGGTCGCATTTGACGCAGATTTTGATACCCTATAAAGTGACCTATAAGTAGCTTTTGCTTAACGCTTTAATTTACACATAAACTCAAAATAATCGCAAAAGTACTTGTACTTTTCAAGATTGTGAAGATTGTATTAGAAAAATTGTGACATTGTATTAGACCTCAATTCACTTCACTTTATAGAGCATCAATACTTGCGTCGAATGAGGTTTATGAATGCATATTTTGTTCAACAAATTACAACGCTGTTGCTTTCACAACATCAAGTACTCACAAGTACTCGTACCGACTCTGGTATCGATAGATTATTCGCATTAACAAAAACAGATATCCACAGCTTTTTTATTTTGTTTCTTGCTTGTTCTTTTGTTGTCATACAGCCCTCTATTTACAAAATCTAGAAGATGACAGAAAAACAATTTTCATTGTAAACATTTTTAGGAAAAGGATAATTACATAAAAAAACAGATTGTTTTAAAATAATTTAAACAAAAAGTTGAGAAGAAATAGAAATCTAATGTAGTTCTCGAAGAATTTGTTCTCTTCCTAATGTTAGAAAGAGTGAAAGAGTTCAGGTATCATTTTATATTTACTATACGTTTCGAAGTCTAGATCGTTTAAAGAAAGGTTTTAGTTCGGAAGATGATAGTTGTTATCACGTATATAGTCATACAGTGGATATAGGAGTGGATAATGTCATATTATCTGTACTGTTTCTTTTCCCTTCAGTGTCTGAAGCGGTTATCTTTTCTTCTACTGATATCGGACGATTTATATTATGAGGTTTTAAACTTAAGAAGAGTAAAGCATGAATTTTTTTTCTCCCTTCATTGCCATCAAGCACAATGAGGAAGTTGGATAATTTTGACGAGCTGATTTTCTTATCTAACATTATCAACCCTGTCTTCCCTCGTAAGGGATTTAGAAGAAAAGTAGGTTCAATACAACATTTAATTTTCGTACAAATTCAAAAAAATTGTGTCATTATCGAGCTTTGAACAATTCATTATCCCGGAGGGCATGTAAATCGGCTACAAATTGTCAAACAGCAATTCTTTTAGCTCTCCGTGTCAAACTTAATATGAATAATCCAAAGGATTACATCGGTTTATCACTTAGTTATCGTAAAATAAATAGATAATGGTAGAGTTTTAGAAGTCGCACATTTCCATATATTTTTGAAGCTTCACATCTCTATGATTCCTGAGAAAACTAAAAAGTTTGATTGGCACCTGTAAAATAAAAAATTTTTTTTCGATAACCGTCCACTATTTCGAAAAAAAAGCTTTTGCCATTAGATAAGTGTTACAAATCTTGAAATTTATAAAAAAAAAATAAATTCTCCTCTGAGAACTACAAGTTTTTTAATATAAAAATGAAGACATACTTTTGACACGGCAGTGTTGATATTGGTGAGTAAAAGTGTTCTATGCAGAGACTTAGGCTTTATTTAGTCTCACTTTGTGCAGGGTTCAATTCTACATCTTGTACGGTATAAAAAAGTTGAGATGAATTGCAAATGTGAAAGCGTAAACATTGAGAAAAAATGGGTTTTCAGCGCTGAGTTAGTGCGCTTATTTTGTATTTTTGCCACTTTCTATACCTCTTCCATGGAAAATTAAGGCATATTTGAAATCAGCAGAAAAAACTGAATCAAATCATGTATTACTCAAATATTTTTAAGAAAAAACGTTTTTTTAGAAAAATCGCTTATACAGACAAAAATTCAACGAAAATTTTTCTGTTTGTTCATAGCGTAGAGTTGTACATTTAGCGCATTCCAGCGATATAAGTAGTCAAAGGTTTATTATTTTAAAAAACAGAGCAACATACAAAAGTATAACACTTAAAGAAAAACATTCAATAACATTATTCCTATTCAGTGCGTTCCCTCGTCCTCTGTATTTGCTCAACCAAGTTATCACACAGCTCTTGCTTTCGATGTTTTTGTTTTACATTATTAATTTCTTGTACAAATACATTGGGATTAAATAATGCAAATTCGCATATAACAGCTAAAAAAATAAAGAAACTCATTATAATAAAAGAGATGTCAACTATATTTATTCAGATGGTGCGCAAAACTACATAGAAGAATTGTCACAATGAAAGACTCAGATTATATTTTGTTTCGAGAAATAAAGATGAGTCTTTTATTGTGTTCCTCCATAAGAGGATCCTACTATGTATATAAAATCGGTTTTAGGCGAAATAGGAGTCAAAATGGAGCTTTTCATTTCAAATTTTAAACTCTTTTTTCTTCCCATGCATCATACCAGTGTTTCCAATTAGAATAGAGAAGGATAGGATATCCTCATTCAAATTTTTTATATTGTCTGCAAAAATTTCTAAACATAATGTCTCACAAACTTTTTTTTAGAGAAAAAGTGTAAAAAAAATTATAAAAGCAATAAATGGAGTTTAATATGAGTTAAAATAGAATAATATCTCTGATAAACTGATTTGGGACTCCTGTTTGCTAAGAAAAACAGCAGGTCGCCTTCTAGAGCAACCTGTCTTCTACCAAGAAAAACTATCTTCCTGAAACACTGCACCATAGTAAGTTTAGAGTAGCTCTTATATTTCGTCTTCATTTGATAGCATAATTTTCTGTATTTTAGACACGATTTTAAACGATCCTGAAAAATGAGCAGAATGGGTACCGTATACCAAAAACAGACAGAAAAGATCCACAGGAAGAAAGAGATTATTTGTCTATACACATTATGCACATGTAAACGAGGATTAAAAGAAATAACTCAACTCAATTAATTAACTCTCAGACAAAATAAAATAACTTACTATAAATGGCGTTTTGTATATCTGAATTTTGATCGTCTAAATGTATGAGAAGTGTTTTGGCTATATCTTCTAAATGTGAATTGTATAATTGTGGATTAAAATCGTTTTTGAATGATTTACAATAAGCAATTAATGTTGTACACATTGTTAATCGTATTTCATCTGAGACATCATCTAATCGATGTAATAAATCTGGATAACATTTATGTAATCGATCGTTATCAATTGAATTAACAGCATTTTCATTTGAAAATAAGGCATGTAACATTTTACAACTATTTATTCTCGTTAAACGATCATCATCATCTAACATACCGAGTATATCAGTTAGAAGTTCATTAAATAATGATGAACACTAGAATGTAAAGAGAAAGTCTATGAAAAGACAGATTATTTTTTGTCTTGACCTTACACTTTCAAAATTGAATGAACGTGTTTGAAATAATGCCCACAGTGTTGCTATGGCTGTTGCTCGTATAGCTCCTAGAAAATAAAACTATATTGAAATTGTGTCAAATAAAGTTTTCTATCTCATACCTGCCGTTCTTCCTGCTTTCCATTTCATGTTTGGTAATATACAAGATTTAATCAATGGTACAATATGGTTGTTTAATTCATCACCATTTGTCGTTGTTTGATTATCAATTGTATTCAATAAATGAACAATAATTAATAAAGATTGATTTCGTAATTCCGAATCTCGGTCTGGATTTAAAACAATTTCCAGTATATCAATAATAGGCGTTAAAAAATGGATTGTAGATGAACCTAAAATGAAAGAAAGTTTAAAAAATCAATGAAAAACAGAGAAGTAAGTTGTACTTGGAATTACCTGCCTCTATAATAAACGTTTCAAATATGAATCGCTCACGTGTACTACGTAACCATTCATGACAACTTTCTTTTAAATCTTTAAATAATGGTGATGCTAAAGTTTCATACATCAATGACAAATTATCCTCAAAACCACATTTTGATAGATAACCTAACGTTTGTCTACACTGAAAAAGAATTAAAGATGATGTACACTTCTCCGAGTTAATATCGTTGTTTCTAATGGCAAAACATTTTTCTCAGAAACGATCGATGAAAGGAAAGTTAACACGTTTTACAAGTTTGACCTAGCATTAATTTTTCTGTCTGAACACGAAGTGAACAATGACGATTCATACGCCATGTTTAGTTACTATGCCACCGCTTACTTGTTCTCTTAATTGCTCATTTTCCACAACGGATAAAATACTTAAAATACATTTGAATATCTTATAAGAATACGGTTGTAAATGATGTGCACATTTTTCTATTAATAACTGACATAATCGAAGTAGTTCTGTTTGCATTGGAATCTAAAACAGATACATATATATTTATTTTTACAATAAATTGTTAAATATAAAAATATACTTGAAAATTATCAGTAAATTCTGGTTTTAGAATATAATGCAGAAGTTGTTCAATAATGGGATGATTATTACAATGAGAACAGTTACACTGTTGAAGTAATTCTTCAGAATCAACCCCAATTAGCAACGGATTAATTATTCGAATGAGAGATAAAGTTTGAGATTGTTGTTCAAGATGTGGACGAATAAGATGATACGATGTTTTAAAAGGCACAAAATAGCCTACATGAATTAAAGCTTGATTTATCTGAAATTTTTAAATAAATAAATATAATGTAAATATATTAACATGTTCAATCGTTCAATGATTTATTTACCTGTTCTCGAACGTTTACTTCATCGTCCACTAATGTTTTTGATACAACTTGAATAGTATCTGCGAAATGTTGAGTTATACTTTCCTCAGCTTGCCATGTTAAAACTGATAATAATTGAGCTGATTTTAAACGAGTTGATACAACCCAATCAGTTAAATCATTTTTAATTGCTGGTAAAATGCGAATTAAATGTCGTTTGACAAGTTCACGACAACCAAGATTTGGACGAGTCACTAAAACAAGAAAAAAAAGACCGTAGACTATAAAGAAGTTCTTCGTACATTATTGAGAGGGCGATCATTATCGTCTTCTCTTTTTTTTAAATACTCTTACAGTTAGGAGGATATTTGTCATTTGTTTTACCAAAATTAATTTGATCTTTCAAATCTTCTTCATTTTCCTTTTCGTATTTCATCCCTAAACGGAAGCAAATGTGCAAATGCGAACATAACATAGAGAAAGACATTTTGTACAAATTTCTAAAACTTTGGACGTTGAAACTTCTAGAGAGCAAGAGAGAAAGAGAGAGAGGGAGAGTGTGTGTTCAATTTCTCACCGATGTCCCACCATAAACTGTCCGTTGTTTCCTTTATTTCTTCAACATCATCCGTATAACCAGTTAATATCAACGGTAGTAACATATGAAAATAAGAATAACGATCGCGCAATTCTAACAACCATAAGCCAATGACGTTTAGTACAGAAAGACGGACAGCTGATGTATGATCAAAAAATCGTTGTGCCAATGGTGATACGCTTTCTTCTATCGATTTGTTATTGCCAAACCGCACAACATCACCTGAAAGCATAAACTTAATCAATTACATACTTTTTTTACAAATAATATAAAGTAGACAGATTAGTAGAACTTCTTATACGCAACTGCAAACAGTTACACTTTCAAAATTCTTTACTCATCTACAGGATTTTTTTTCGTATTTATTGCATTATAATGCGTTAGGCATATCGTAATGCCTTATAATGTGTTAGCTTTTCTATTGTGTTATAAAGCGATAAATTTAGAAAAAACATGCCTTTAATGCATTAGCGTAACGCGTTATGCGCCAAAAAATTGAAATTATAGTGTTATAATACATTTTTGTCAACGACTTTCCTATATTTTTATAATGCTACAACGCTATAAATTCGACTAACGCGCTAATAGTTACAAGGCGTTACTAAACTCCTATCGCATTATAAAGCATTAATCTGTAACGCATTGCAACGCGTTATGCATGTTCTAACTCATTGTAAGACTATAGATGTTCTTCACACGTTTCAACGACATAAATTTAAGACATTACAATGCATTAACTGTTCAGGTGCTGTAGCGTTATACGTGACAGTGGTAATAAGTGTCCTGTGAGAGTTTATGTCCTAAGTCTCAAGTCAGTAACGTATGTGTCTGATATAGCTAAAGTAATTTTTCCTGGACCAACTTTTCGAGAGGAATCGATTAACGGTCTCAGAATTTTATGCAAATGTGTCATTTACGAGAAAACCATGTATTTTCGTTTTGGATATTGTCTAACTCGTTGTAACGAACGCATTAATACCTATCGTGTTACATCGAGTTCCATTTTCTTATCTCATTGCAATAAGATAGAATATAATACAGCATTGTAATCTATTAGATATTAACTCGTTACAATACGATATGTATTATCTAATGAGTTATAACGCTATAAAAGATTTTTCCAAATTTATGGCATTATGATTAGATAAAACATCTAAGGTATTATAACGCATTAATTTCTGACGCATTATATTGAAGTAGAAAACTCAAACGCGTTATAATACATTAGAATCTAACGTATTATATATAACGCTTTATAACGATATAAATAGAGAAAAAAGATCTTGTGGGCAATGAGTTAACAGTGAACAGGTAAAAGAATGAGATACACAAGATTTCCCTTACAATTTTTTTGAAACATATTTTTCTAAAGTGTTCTTTTGTCGATAATCAGAGAAAATGTGATGATAAAATCTCAAAAAACTCTGGAATAAAACATACCTAATGCTTTTATCGCTTCGCATCGAACTTTAGCATGTTGATGTTTCATTGTTTCAATTAATGGTTTAATTAGAATCTCAGACATTAAATGGAATTTATCTTGACATTTTTTGGCTAGATTAGATGCTGTTTCACAACTTAATTTTCTTACTTCGGGATAAGGATCGACGATCGTCTTCTTTAATATTTGTATATATTCATTTAAATAAAGTACTAATTTATCGTTTGTACACGATTGACATAATTTCAATAGTAATTCAATTGATTTCAAACGAATTTCTTCGGATGATTCAATCAACTCGAATGTACTATTATTCGCTAATCGTTGAGTTAAAGCGGGAATCAATATTGGTAATGTATCATTTTTATTCATGCATTTTTTTAAATACGTTGTAGAAAATGTCAGTACAAGATCACGATTTTTTTCAGCTTGATCATTTAATAATTTTATTATCGATTCAAGAATACTTAAATAACGTTTAGAAAAATAATCTTCTTTTACATTGACATCTTCACAATTGTTGTCAAGTGTAAACAAATTAATATCATTACACAGTGTTTGTAATGCTTTTTGACGTGTTATTTTACTTGTATCCGTTAATAGAACAACATTTCGATTCACTTCACTATCGGTTATTAGTCCGGTAGTCATCTGAAACAAAGCGAATACGTTAGGAACGACAATTTTTCAATTCCTGAATACAAACTAGAAATAAGAAAGAGGCTTGCTTTTTTCCATAACTAATGAAGATAGACGTGTGAAATAAAATAAGACTGGAAACAAGGTTTGCTGTCGAGCTTAAACCAATGAATTAAAAGAAGAGAACTTTTCTTTCAATATCACTTAACGTGTGGAAGCTTGCTTGCTTTTATGATAAGATTCGTCAAAGCATCATCCCCTGCCATTTGTCCGCCATGGAGACCACTCATATCCTGACTACGTTGAGTAAAAATGGGGGAAAAAAGCTTTCGAAAGAAGTGGCTTTGTAGTTAGATATCAGCAATGAAGCTAATAACAAATCAATAATAATAAGATCATTTTATGTTGTCCTTTTTCTTATACGATTTTATTTTCGTAAAGGCCAACATGAAGATTCCTCTTTTATGAATGAGGTCACTACCTAATGTAGACTACTTTAATCTTTTTGAAGCAAAGGAAAAATTCGCTGTATTAGATATAATATATATAAGAAAAAAAAGACGCGACCTCTACTGACGGGAGGATTCTACCGTCAACGAAAAAAACGAAAGAAAAATATCCATCAAAATTACATTACTTTTGCTCTAAAATGAAAGAAAGAGTAATTTCCTTACCTTCAACATCAGTACTTTGAGGTTGAAGGTAAGGACTGCGCTGACTTAAGTCAGCGCAGAAATGACCTATCATTGTTATTGTTCTGTTATTGGCGATTAGTGTAAGCCAATGATAAGTTTCACAATTTAGGAATTTATTTATTTGCTTATTCAATTTAGTTACTCATTCACTTCTCACTGATTATTCAAATTTAGGTCTTATCGCTTTTTGTCTTTTACTTTTCAATATTGCAAGTCGATTAATTAACACATACGAACTATGCGTTTGTCTTATTGTCCCCATTGAAAAGATAATTGTATCTCCTTTTATGTCGTTTTGAAAATTTCTCAATAAGAAATTAGAAAAGCAAGTTTGCCAATTCTACTCGAGGTTATTTTTATTTGTGACATAAACAGATAGTGATCTTGTATATATTCTGTATTTCATCATAACTGAACTAAAGTGAGGACATGATGATTTTACCTTTCCATGGTCTACTAAACTAGGGTTAACATACGATGCAAAAGTATTTAGAACAATCTTGAGCTTTACTTCTCAGCGACGAAACGTAGGATCGAATTAAAGTCTGAAGAACAAAAGAGGCCAAAATAGTTTAAACTTGAGGTTTGATCTGTTGTGATAAAATTCAGATACGGAGTAACACTGGAAACATCTTTGGAACCTGATTTTTTAATAGTTTCCACTGCTTGTTCTGCAGAGTCGTGTGTTTTGGAGCTTGAACTAAACACAAACACAAGCAGACATTTTCAAGTCCTATCGAATGGCACGTATTTAGAGTTTAGTTTTTGTTACGTTTTCTATGCGAAAAGTCTATTTTCTGAAATGTCTGATCAGCCGGAATATCGATTTAGTAAAAAAGGGCCTAACTGAGAAAAACAGTTCGTTTACAAAAGCATCAGAGAGTAAATAGAAAAAATTTCGAAACGTATGCTTCGGATAGAGTTTTTTACGGTCTCTCCAGTGCTGTAGTTCATTGATGACTCAAAAGCTTAGGAGCGATATTATTCATGAAATAAACGTTTTTCCGGTGTTGTGGAACTTTCTTAAGGTCAATCGAAACAATGACCTCACACAGCACAAATTAACTGAGTAAAAAATGGTTTGCCAGACAAATTTGTTTTCAACGCTTTGCTCTTTCAAACAAAAAAAAATCAAGCCGATTCTACGTTTCGTCGCTTAGAAATAAGGCTCGGCATTATTTCAAAGACTTTTGCATCGTATACGGCATTTACAAAATCTGTCCATTTCGGGATTAAAAGTAGCATGTACACGAATATTTTATGTGTCCGATTTATACATACATTTTATTTTAGATTCTATATAAGAGCATCTCTCTACGTGATTTTCCATTATGAAAAAATCAACGGATTCGCCGAGGTAAGAACATCAAGACTTTCTCATCATTTTCTAATATAGTGGCGAGTTATAACACTGTTAGGAGACTTTTACTTGGTGAAGTCCATCGTTGTATATAGTGCAAAGATATGCTACAGCCAGAAAGAAAAAATACTTTTAACGTAATCGTACTATTCATTAAAAAAACAAAAAAAAAAAAATCGCTTTTTTTCATCTATTTTATCATAGATCTTTGTGGGTTAAACAAAGTCTGAAAAAGAGAAAAAAGTTAATTTCACAAAGTTTGAGTCAACCAGAAGATTTTGTATTTTGGTAGGTATTTAAAATTAGTGCGTTAAAAATGTTGCTCAAAACATAATTTTGTTTTTTGTTTGTTTTTCATAACATATTTAATAAATGTGATGTTTTGCTCTGCTGCGTGCGCTTGCTTGGTTTGATATGAATATTGCTACAACACATTTTAGTTAATTATTTGTATGTTTTTTCAGTTCAGCGGATGATCATAAAGAAATGGGTGAAGTTGTTCAACAAAATAATTTAGATGAAGATGGTACTCCTAACACTACATCTCGTCATTTATCTGATAATGTAAATAATATTTTCACTTATGAATGAAGTTTCATCACTTCTTCTCGGTCGAAGTCTTTCTACCGTTTATATTTGAAAATAATGTATTTCTATTTTTAGATGTTACACAATAGTACCTCGTTTCATTCAGACAATGGTCGTTCAACAAAAATGTCACTATCATTTTCACGTATAAAAGAAAAATTGGGGTCTAGCAACAAAAGTAATCCTGTTGATGATTCTAAAAATCTTGGCTACTACGTTGTAGATTCGGACGGTTCAGACTTAGTTTTTATCGATAATTTACCTAACGGAAGTGATGATTATTTACAAAATACAAGAATTGGATGTTCCGAACCCTCTGAAAATTCACATCACGAAGATGATGTTGATTTGAGACGGATTGATCTGAGCAATAACATTAATATATCAACAATACCGAAAACGCAGCTTACTACGGAGAAAAAGAATCAAAATTATAATGAGAATTATCAACGCTCCATGGTTGCAGTTAATCAGTACAATCCTCTAAATATCACACCATCCGGTAAGAATCTACGATTTTATCATTCAAGTACTTATCATTTGTTTCTTGTTGTTTCAGATAAGTCACACGATTTTCCGACACAGTCAACTAAACATCAATTTTATTCGGTCATGACTGATGCTGACAATGTTCAAGCAACACGCGCTAGTATTGAATGTGGCTTTCCAGTCGTCGTTCCAAAACAGACCATTTTACCTCAAAATCATTCTATCTCTTCCGTACATAATACTTCAACGTCCACAGCTTCTTCCAGTTCTGATTCTTCCTCAATAACAAACGACAATAAATGGCAAAATCCAAATGATGAAGACTTAACATTTCTAAGTGAAGATGAATACAGTAAATCACAAGAGTCAATCTAGTTCAAGAAACATTTTTTAAGACTTTACTTTTCTTTTGTTTAGTTCGAGTACAACAAGACGCTCTTGAAAGAATTATATTGCTTCGTGTTTCAGTTACAAATGAATTAGAAAGTTTACTTCAAGACGATGATGAAGATCAAGTAATAGAGCAAGAAAGACTTTTTAATTAGGTGTTTAACAAGGGTATATATTTTTTTCTTTCATCAAAAGGATCAAACAGTACTTGCCGGATTATTTCAAGAGGCTCGTAAAAAGAATGCATCACTTTTGAGAGAATTAGAACAATTACAAGGTAAATAATAAACAACTTCTTTCAAATGTACAAAACAATTCGTAATATTTTGTCAATTTTTCTTTACATACAGTACAAAATTCAAGTTTAAATCGTACTTGGGTATGTGATGTTTGCACATTTATCAATAAGCCATATGCTCAGACCCAATGTGATGTTTGCGAAATATGTGAAGGACCAAGTCCAAGAAAAAGAGGTACGTCAATATATTTCTTCCTCGAGATATTTCATGTTAGATGTATCAGAATTCTCACTCAGATTTTTTAATTTTAGCTCAATTAACCAGCTAATTGCTATTCTAGCCACTCGTTAGTATTGAAATATTCGATTATAATGCTACGACTATTTTTATATTTTAAATATTGGCAGAATTTCAATTAATTAGCCAGAAACTGAGTCTTTATAAACTGTTATACTTCGAACATTTTTTCTAAGAATAATTGCTTAATGTACATTATGAATGCCTTTTGATAGATGATCTGTTCGTAAAAGGCCTTGAAAAATACGTGATAACGCTGTGGTAAATGTGCTTCTCTCCTATTTTTGTATTACTGTACATTTATAATTTGAAGTCAACCACAAAAAAAAAAATGTATGTATCGCGTCTTTTTGTTTTTGTACAAAAAAGACAATTTTTCTTTTTATAAACTTTTGCATACCCTGAAAACTTGGTTTTTTATTGGTTTTGTGTTTACATGAAAATATATTTTCTAAATGAAGTTAGTGTCGTTCTTTTTATGGATTTTTTGTACCTGCCTATGAATGTGTATGCATGATAAGGAAGAAAGAAGAACATTTATTTGTTCAGAAGTTAGAGAAACAGTGAGATTATTTATATATTTATTTTCTATCAATAAAAACAAACAATAAAACCACTAAACTTTCTCATTTGCGGATGGATAACTGGCTTCAGAATAATAAAAATGTGAACTGAAACAAACAAAATTTTCTAGATAATAAACTTTAGCTCTGTATTTCGATAACATTTTGCTACAATATATGTTTTGTTTATCTAGTAAAATTTATAAAACATCGATGCAAATAACTCGTTAAAGTTCAGTAATAAAGTCATTGATTTCGATTCTAATTTTATTATTATGTTTTTCCAGATAAAGTAATTTTTTTATTTATTATCGACGCAAATGTCAGCCGTTGGGGATGTTGTGTCGAACGAAAATGATGCAGATAATCTTCATAATAACAATACGTCGGTTTCAAAAATAATAAAAAATTTAAACGGTATAAATATCGCTGAGGATGTGTCTACATCTATGATTCATTATGACGATACACAAAATAATGATAATGCTAACGCAGCTGAAACACTATCAAATTCTATTCCAATGAATTTGTTGACAGCGGGTAATATGATTTTCACATACGTTGATTGCTCTGCTGTGAAAATATCCGCATTTTTTGCTGTAATTTGTTCAGTTTATATCTACCAATTTAATTTTTAATGAATTATTTTTTACATGTCTATTTTCAAAAGTCAAATGATTTCATTGTAAAAGATATACACCTGAGGCTATTAAATATTCTTTTGCATCTCATGCCTCGAAATTGCTTTTTTTACTGATATATGTTATTTATATAGTAATTAGGGAAACGCCCAAAATAGGTAAATAGTAAGTAAAAGAAACTGACAATGTCATCATATTAATTATAGTGTCTCATCAAATAGACGAGTTCCTATTTGATTTAATTCCAATCATTTTTGTTTACCTCACATCTGTTTTTTTGTCAAACTCATCATGTAATTCACTATACTAAAATTCAACATCCTCAGATATATTCTGTCTAGTTTTCTTATTGATTATTATTGTTTTTTGAATGAGAGAAAATCTTAAAAATGCTGATGAGTTTTCATATTAATAATTTAATAGTTACAGTTTCCTTTTTTTTTAAATTCATTTCCTTTAACAGATAAACATCCATATTGGAATAATCCACGAACCAGTATGGAAGAACCACAAATGGAATTTGATGATCACGATATTAATCTTATTGCAGATAAAGGTATAGATACATCTCCGATCTTTTAATTATTGAGAGCAAATAGACTATTTTCTTTCCGTTTGAAGAAGTTGATGATTTCGGAATTGAATATGGTAAGATGAGGGGGAGGGCAAGACTCTTTAATAAAGCTACAACTAACCAACACCATGAGAATTCAATGATTCTGCACATCTTGACATAAACAAGCAGACAACTTAGACAACTATTAGGAAATCACTGTAAATGCAACTTTTTGGCATGTCTACTTGCTTGCATCAAATAATGCTTTTACTATTCTTTTCTACGCATGTGAAAAATATTTTTTTTTATGAACTTATGTATCTTTTCAAACTATATAGATGGCCACGAGACAGTAGATCTTGATGATATTGATGACGAGCTTGGTTGCGGTTCTGGTATTGGTAATGGCGGTAATAACACATTGCTTGCTTGCTTACTTCTCTTTATTTTCAATTCTTTATCACTAACATTTTAATGGGCACATCAGGAAAATAAAATTGAATATTGCATCTTTTTCTTTTCTATTTAGAGGGTGCTTATGGTGGTATAACAACTAGCGGCAGTGTTCATGGGGTTGGAGGAAAAACTCGTACACTAGGAAAAGGAAATATAACGTCTGATGGAATTATTGACGACGATTTTGAATCAGAATTAAGTGGTCATGCATCAACGGTAAATTGAATCATACATTCATCATAAAGTCATTTTGCGGTGTTTTTGTTGTTTCTTTTTAAAGGAAATCCATGATACAGAAGATCCTGATTATATTTTAATGCAAAAAATTGCTGCATTCGATATTGTTCAATGTTTTGGTGATGACAAAGTATGTTGATGGAAAACAGACAGATAGTTTCAAAATGATATTTATCCTACGATTTTTAGTTTGGTCGAAAAATAATTATTTGTTCTGCTTGTCGATTACCAGCTGAAGATGTGATTAAAAATAGTGAATTTAAAACAGCTGATAAATTTTATGATTGTTTATTAAAGTAAGAACAAAAACAGCAATTATAAGTAGAACAATTATACGTACAAACAATTATAAGTAGAAAAATGACAATATGGTTTATTTTTTAGATATGTTTTACGTACATTTGATCAATATGTGGATATGGACTATGTTTTAATTTATTTTCATCATGGTTTACGTAGTTTTAATCGGCCATCTTACGCATGGCTTTTACGTTCTTATCTCAAAATTGATCGAAAGTAACATCATTTTGTCAGAATGTATTAATCTAATATAGAACTGTTGATGTTTTTCTAATTAGATACAAAAAGAATCTAAAAGCATTTTACATTGTTCATCCAAGTAATAATAATTTTACACGTTTAACGTTGATCCTAAGGCAATTTTCATTGTATTTATATTTTAGCAAAATGGATTAAATTTCTTTGGCCATTTTTTCGATCATTTATTAGGTTTTTATTTTTTTTAGTACATCTTTTACATTGTTCATATTGTTCGTTCTCTCTTTTTAGTGTTAAATTTTCTCGTAAAGTGTATTATATAAATAGATTAGGACAATTGGCTGATCATGTTCATCTAGATCAAATTACAATACCAATTGAAGTGAAAAAGTTCGTTAATAATGAAAATTAGTAGACTAATAGAGGATGTTCTTTTCTTTTTTGTTCGATAGTTTTGATCCTATTATTCCAGTTCAAATTCCACCAACTTCAATTCGACCAACACAAAAATTTAATGTTTCACTAAAACAGTATATATCCTTTTATTTAAAAATTTATAAAAACGAACTATATTTTTTCTGAACCATTTTAAAATAATTTTTTTGTTTTCATTCAGTATATTGGACAATGAGAAAGGTGAAACGATACCACTTGTTGTTCGTCAAACAGTTGAATTTATAAAAAACTATGGTATAGTTAAATTAGATATTCGTCACTATTGAAAATTTATATTAAACTTTTTACAGGTTTAAACGAACCAGGAATATTTCGACGAGCTGCTATTATATCACAAATAAAACTAGTTCAAGAAAAATATAATGAAGGTATAACATTCGCTTTCGATAACTATTCATTAAATTTTTCATCTTCTCTTTTGTCTTTTTTAAGGGCAACCAGTGACATATGAACAATTCGGTGATGTGCATTTAGCTGCTTGTGTATTAAAAACATTTTTACGTGAATTAAGTGAACCATTATTGACATACGGTCTCTATTATGAAATTTTGGGACTTCAAGGTAAGAGTAAGTATGCTTATGCCTTCTTTGGTATATATTTGTTCGTGTGTGGGGTGTTTTTGCATACTTATTAGTTGGCTATCACCATTAGTGGATCTATTATCATTATTGTTATTATCATTATTATTATTATTGTTGTTACTATTATCACACTAAAAATAGATGCAATTAAAATACTTATGCTTTATTTTAGTACGATATTCGAACAAGTTTTTTCTTTTATCAGAATAAAATCTTCTTACTATATTTTGCTTATTTTACTAAAATACTACTTTGATTTGTTACTTTTCGTACGTATGTAAGTAGTATTATTTGTTCTGGCATAAAACGTCGGAAATTGTTTGTAGTAGACAAGACTAATTATGCTTCTTCTTCTTCTTCTTCTTCTTGCAATACTATAAGGTAGAATATATTAGAGACAAAAGATACGAATCATATAACACAATCATAAACAATTCTATTTTGTTAGCGATGATTGTTGTAATCACCACTTGAGCAACGCAGTATTTCAAAATATTCTTCTTTTTCTCTATTTTCCATTATATCATTGTTTTCTTTTTTTCGTTCCGCTGTTTCTAGCATTAAATCGACCCAATCAAGTTGAAATAATTCGCGATTTAATCATTGAAAAATTACCAGAACATAATTATCGAATCTTAAAATATATTATTGAATTTTTGAATTTGGTAAGTACGTCTGATAATGCTGTATATTTATCCCATTAAATTATTTAACTTCTTTTTTCTTCAATTTTTAGATCTCCAGTTATTCAGATACAAATTTAATGACTGCATCTAATTTATCAATTGTTTTTGGTCCAAATTTGGCTTGGTCACAAAATTCTATTGATAATACACTGGTTAATATGTCATTTATAAATACATTCACCGAAATATTAATATCACGTTATACTGAATTATTTTTAAAATAAGTTGACAGGATGCATATGAAAACTTTTTATGTCTTTCATATTGTTGAATACATCAAACTTATTGTATTCTATTTTCATTCCACTGTACTCTTTCTATTAACTAATACATTATCTCTTTATTAATCGACGCTTAATTCGGCATTTTAGTCACCATTGCTCTGCAACATTCCACTATAGTTACAATAAAAAAACTTTGATTTTTTTTTTCTTCCGTCCTTGTATTATTATTTCATTTTATATTGTGCAAACAGAAGATAAATGAGATTTTAAGCATACATTTATCACTTGACAAAAGGAAAAAAAGAAACTAACGTGTACATGTAAGAGGATATTATTTGTTTTTTTATTGTTGTTGTCTTAGCGTATTTTCAATGTCTTCTTTTTTTTTGTGTATTTTTACGCATACATTCTTAATTCTCTTGTTCATTGATCTCTTGCTCATATTATTTTTTTTTTCATATGTAATTAAAATCTTTGTGCTATTCTAATTCTTTAACATATTGATGAAATAAAGTCATACAAACAGTGTTCTATATCGTATTGTTTTGATATCTTCATGGAAAGATTAGTTTATGTTATCTTCTCAAAGCTCTTTACAATGTGTTTATATATAAAATTGTATATTTATTACCTTCTCATTTGTTACAAATCATCTTCATCTTCTTTGAATCAGATTCATCCACGGTAGAGATGATTAACTCTGCATACTTTTGTAAATTTTATAGTACATTTGTTTTAGATGTCGTTTTGAGGTTTTTTATTAATGACATCATCAACAAGTCAAGATTTTGGGTATTTATTTGGATAAAACAGAAGATTTATTCATTTTATCATTTTCTCTTGGTTATTTTCTAGGCTTCTGCCACGAATTGTTAATGGAGGTAAATTAATAAAATTATTTTTTGTCGTTTTTAAAGTGAAAAATCGAAATAAATCTCAATTGAACGTTAATATTATTTTCAAGAACTGCTTTTCTACTCACAGTTCTTCATACTCAAACTTTATGTTTGATGAAAGAGGGAGTTATTAATGTCTATTTTAAATATAAGGAATTGCTGGGATCGTGGGAGTAATATGCGTTTTTCCCATCGATCTTGTCAAGACACGTATGCAGAATCAATCGAAAGCAGTTGGAAAGCCTCCATTATATAAAAATATGTAAGTGAATATATTTGTACTTTCTTTGAATAAATCATTTTGGTTTTGTTATAGATTTGATTGTGCAGTAAAAACAGTGCGGGCAGGTGGTTTTCGTGGCATGTATAGTGGTACGTTACCTGCAAATACAATTTGTCTTGATTTTTTTTTCTTCTCTCTCTGTACTCGCTAGGTTCTGCTGTCAATATTCTCCTAATTACACCAGAGAAAGCGATCAAACTAGTTGCCAATGATGCATTTAGACAGTTACTAAAAACAAAGTGAGTGGGTAGGTTTTGTAGAATTATTAAGAAACCATTCTGTATGTATTTCTCTCTATTTCTCTTTAGAAGTGGTACATTGCCTGTACATCGGCAGATAGTAGCTGGTGGTTTGGCTGGTAAGTTTACTTGAACTGATGAGACTAAAATGTTTCGACTATCGTTTTTAGTCCGTTATTTCAAATAAAATTTTTTTGTTAGGTACCTGTCAAATAGTGGTTACCACACCAATGGAATTATTAAAAATACAAATGCAAATGACTAAAGAGAAAAGTAAGTAGATGAATAGACACCAGAGAAACTTTCATCTTTATAAATACATTTTGTTTTTAGACGTTTATTTTGAAAGAGAAAATTTGTAAATCGCGACTGTTGATAGCCTCTATGGGTTTCTTTAGTATTACCGCATACTTTGTTCATATAGAATAATTCAGTAAAAGTTTTGAATAGTCTTTTTTTATTTCACTTTGTTGGGTGGTCAATGCAGTTTTGCAAATAAATATTTGCTGCGTGTGAATGAAGAAATAAATTATCTTAATAATTTTACAAAATCTATGCATTCACTTTGTTTTTAATAAATGCCTAGACACCTGATTAATAAGAAGGGTTCACTGTCTCTACTAATTTTAACTTGTCAACGAGTGTATTCTAATGTTTGAGAATGATTTTGTATTGTTGCTTTAAAATATATTTGTTTTAGTGCTCGTATATCATGATTCTATCTAATTAAGGTGATGGTTTAATTTTTAGTGGGATTTTACATTGAATATAATCAAACATATTTTTTTCCACTGTTTATTTGTTTAGGTAAAAGTTCCATACCATCTGGTGTAACACAGTCGTCAACGTCTCCTCAAGCTGTTAATGCACGACAATTGGCCTTACAATTATTTAAAGAAAAAGGTATTTTTGGTCTTTATAAAGGATTGGGTGCAACGTTTACGCGAGATGTTTGTTTTTCAATGATGTATTTTCCACTTTTTGCTTATTTCAATGATAAGGTAATATTATTCAAACATATTTTAATCGTCTATATAATAAAATCTACTCTATTCTAGGGTAAAGAACCGGGTAGTAATCAAGTTCCGTTTTATCATTCATTTCTGAGTGGACTTGGAGCTGGATCATTGTCAGCATACCTTGCAACGCCGTTGGACGGTATGTCTTGTTTATCTTCAATCGCTAAAAAAATAAAAGATTTTAATTGTTATTTATAGTTATTAAAACTCGTCTTCAAACGTTAGAATATAAAAATCGATATAGTGGTATTCTTGATTGTGCTGGGTAAGAATGATAATATCAGTTTTTTAAGTTACTTTAACCTTATGATTGTTGCAGAAAATCTAAATCCATCGCTCTTACGTTACTTTAATCAACGAGGCGAACGAATGGATATTATAGTGAGAGAAACGAAAAAAGCAGAGAAAAAAACTGAACAGGTAGTAAGGTGCCCGTAATTCGAAGTTTCCATGACTTTTCTTTTTGATATATTTATACATGATTGGATAGAGGACATCGAGCTGAGTAAGAAAAAGTTAGTTTTTTTCTAGATGAAAATGAGAATTCTGCCCCTAATTGTCATTTTTCTCCACGAGAACTCATTTTTTTATTCAATAAAAATATCATATTTAGAATTGCCATCAAAAATTGAGTCGAATGACATATTCTTTCATCCTATCTGACAACTTTCGTTTTTTACAAATTTTCACGTCGAAAAATTACTGAGATTTTCACGAAGAAACGAAAATCAATGAAAAGTTTTGAAATGTATAGCATTCGACTCAATTTTTGATGGCGATTCTGAATATGGTATTTTTATTGCATAAAAAATGAGTTCTCGTGGAAAAAAATGAGAATTATGGGCAGAATTCTGATGTTTTCGCTTCTGATCTAGAAAAAATGAATTTTCTCAGTGAGGAAACAAAATTAAAAAAAATTGATGCGTCATTTTAAAGCTGACAGTTTGGCGGTTGGAATGAGATAAGAGAAATGGCAAAATGTATTCACACAAAAAACTGGATAGGTTTGCAAAATGACCTGCTGTCGTTGTAGAGGGTCAGTTCCAGTGAAGCAGGCTAAATCAGCTTTTAGGTTTGAGATCAGTCAAGCATCTTCTCTATAGTCAGTTTTCAATGCTGACTTTAAGAAAATTAGTTTCAAAACAACAAAAGACACAAAGTAAAGAAAAAATGTAAAATTTGAATTTTTTGAAACTGTAGCGATTTTTAGCAAAATCGGTCCTTTAAAGTTTTTCAAAACTTAAAACTAACTTTTTCTTACTCAGCTCGATGTCCTCTATCCAACCATGTATAAATATATCAAAAAGACAAAGTCATAGAAACTTCGAATTACGGGCACCTTATGAGCTTTAAAAAGTAATTAAAAATAGTTAAGAATTTTCTTTCGTGCTTGTTTGTTTAGAAAAATGTTTCGACAAGAAGGAGCAAGCGCATTTTTCAAAGGTTCTTTATTGCGTGTTATGGTTATTGCGCCATTATTTGGCATCGCTCAAATGGTCTATTACCTTGGTATTGCAGAAACGTTACTTGGTTTGAAACCATTAGGTAGTGTGAGTTGAACAAAGACGATGATTCATCCTTACATTAATGGTTAAAACTCTCCAAATCTTCTGCTTTCTCCACAACTAATAATACAATCATAAGAAACAGTAACAGAGATTTTTGATTCTTAAAGTCTTTATGTGTTTTTTTTTTGGTGGAAAAATGAGGACACTGCACTTTTTTTTGTAAAGTAAGCGAGAAAAATATTTCGTCGTAAACCGTTGACAAAAACAAAACTAACACTTATCCTTTTTCAATTTATTCAACTTGTGTTTTGATATACTGTAATAAAAGTTTGTTTCTCAGATATTTTTCCCACTGTCGGTTTTCCTCTCTGGACAAATTTTATTTTATTTATCGTCGATTTGGTTTTGCTTTTTATAGTATTTTTTTTTTCAAAACAGTTTTTTTTAATGTTGGTGCAATTTTCTATGTATCACAAGTGCTCACGTTTCTTTTCGTCCTCTATTTACTTTAACTAATAGAATAAGTACCTTTTTTTCTGGAAAATAATTATGTTGTGTGTCTGATCCTATGCAACGTTACTTCCTCTGTCTAGTATCTGCACATGGATAGTATGGTATGTATTGTATTTTTTTTTTATTCATCTTTTTTTCGTTAAAAATCGACGAAATTTTGATTAAAATCTCTAGTGCCTTTCTACTCGTTTATACCAGAGAACAAGATGTTTTTCATTGTAACATCTAATTTTTTGATAAAGACAATTTTGTCGAAAAAACCGGATGTGTCACAGGTAACAGTAAATGGAGAGAAAACTTCTCTGAATACATGCGCTGCAGTTAATAATTCTTAAAAAAAAATGTTTTTTAAAGGGGGAGAGACTTTAACGATTTCTCAACAAAAGGATCAAAAACATTTTGAAACTTGTGTAGTTTTGCTTACAAAATTGATGTGCAAGATGTAATAATTTTGGTTATTGTACTAAGGAATAGATCTTTACATATTCTAGATGCCAAAATCAAAGTTGTAAATAAAACAAAGAAGACGTGCTAGAATCCATGGACTGCGATGAAATACGCTTATTACCATTTTACACAATTCCTAGAGAATGGAAAGTTCACATGATAGATCGTCGAACGCTTTTGCGTCAAATAGTGGTAAGTGTCTTTTTTCAACTTTATTCAACGACATAATATATACTTCTGTACTTTCTCTTTGATTATATTATTTAGCAAGCAGAAAAAATGGTTGAATCTGCCACACTATTAGCATTTGATACAGAAACCATGCCCATATTTTATCATCCAACATTTCAACAAAATCAACAGTATAATCAAAGATATCCAAGAGGAGAAGATCCCTTAGCATCAACAACTGTTGAAAAACAAGTTCCTCTACCTCCACCTCCAATTTCTTATAATGGAAAACCGTCGTTGTTACAAGTAGCTTTACGTGGAAAAAGATATAATATGAAAAATGTTTTATTATTTGATTTGCAAGAATTGTTCGATCAACAAAATCCTTACTATCGTCCTACTGAAGTTGCCGTTCGTGTACAACGTTTAATTACACTTATATTTAGCCATAGCAAAGCAAGTAAATTAAGTCATTCATTAGCAACAGATCTAGCACAACTGAAGTGTTCATATGATGATGAGTGAGTACTTTGCTCGTCATGCGATCATTTTTGGGTTATATCTTAAAACAGAACAAGTTTGTTATTAGAAAAGTATTTGAAATCTTTTTTTCCTATATAAAATGTTATGAATGAACCAGCTTACATTTCTACGTTCTGCGGTGTTAAACAAACACAAAATTATCGGTGGTACATTTCCAACGCCTTCAATGTATTAGATTTTGCATAAAAAAAAGCGAAGTATACGCTGGAATGGAAGAAGCGAACATCACATAATTATTAGTGTTTTATTTCGCTTATATTGAACGATACATAGAGTGCATCCATATGGACATTTAGCAAGATGTAAAAGTGTTCATAATATAATAGGCGTGTTATATGAGAAAGTTGTCCCAGACTATTCTAGTAATGACTGAGCTAAAGTTGATAAATTATAGCGTTTAAGGGTTTTGAAGGACGCTCTTTCTTTTAGCTGATTCGAAAACAGTTTAAAAATTCTAGAAAAACTTTTCTTTTGATACTGTCTCTTTTTTTCTTTCACAGTCTAGAAGATTCTTGTTTGTACAAGGTTAAAGATGTTTGTCGTGATAGAGTTTTTTATTATCTACTAGGGCTCTGTATGGTTCGGTCCAGGACCAAGTCGGACCGGACCGTAATCCATTTGATCCGACTTAGTCCCAGTTTTTAAAAAGTTTAATGGTTCGAACTGGTCCTAATTGGAAATTTTTTAGAGATCTGTTTGTTTTTTTTGTTTATCGACTAGATAAGTTTTGTTGAACATTTAATTAAGAAATAGTTTGTTTTCAGGTTTGATGAAAATTGAAAGTAAACAGTTTTGCGTTACACAATAGAAATGGATCTTCAAAAAGGAGGAAAAAATTTTCATGATCCAAAGTGGTCCGAAAAAGTTATGATCCGCTCTGATCCTTGTCTCAAAAAGCTACGGTCAAGTCCCAATAATTGGGACCAGATCAGGCCGTACGGAGCCCTGTTATCTACTGTATAGATATCAAAAGTCCCTATACATTATTAAAAAAAAGGCTCCCATTTAAATGCTAAGTAGTTTTTTATTAAATTTTAAGTAAAAAGTTATTAAGTAATTTATTAAAAATAATTATATTTTTTGCAGAAATGTGGTTTAGTGGCTCACTCTCATGCTATACCACGCACCTCCCCCACAACCGCCACTGGGCACACAAAAATATAGCTTACTAAAGTAGGAATTAACAAAAATTAACTTGACATTTAATAAAAACTACTTACGAGGGAAGTACCCCAACTGATAAATCG